AATTAGAGTGGGTAGCAATTATCTAGTTCAAAACTAACATGTTAAAAAAAATGAAGTATCTGAACAGTGAGATTCTCAACATTACCCATTTAATTTTTAGCTGACCTGAGATTAAAATTTAGGAACAACAATTTGTACTTCTTTTGATTATACAATGTTGTCTTTATTATTGCTTCTCTATTTTCCTGTTTGCACTGGTAAGTGAGTGAAGAAAGAGACATGTAATGAGAGAACTTCCCCTTGATGATTTCCAACTTTGACACCACCCTGCCACTTCCTCTACACAATTAGAATTCAATCCTCATTCTTTTTGGATTCCATATTTGCAGATTGACATACTAAAATATATTGGCAGTCTCAAAATCAAGCCTGTCAGCTTTTTCAGTTATTCATAGATATGCCCAGAATTGTAAATAAAAAATTGTGTTACCCACCCAGCATGCACATTGCTAGTTGAAGATAAAGAATGTAACACTCTGACTTCCTGTTTCAGCTCTCATACAGTAAACAAGCAAACTACTCAGTATGTTTAGTGCCATAGCCTTTTGTATATTTGTGCTTTTGGCTGGTGATTTTGCTGTTTAAAATGCCTCCAAACATAGTTGTGAGTGCTTCCTAATGCTCCTAAGTACAAAAATTTCGTATGGAGAAAGTACATGTGCTAAAAGATTTTTGCTCAGATTTGAGTTATAATGGTGTTCTCCATGAGTTTAATATTAATGAACCAGCTATATAATACATCCAGCAAAAACGGAAAAGGAAATCCACCATTCTGTACATGAGGCTGTCCTATGAAATACTTCAGCATTACCTAGTACACAAGGTGCTTATGGAAAAGCAACTACACTGATTGTTGCATTGTTGTGAGGCAGAAAGCTAAAGAGATTTATGGTCAAATTATCATAAATGATAAATCCTTCACAACTAGAGTTTTCCTATTAAAAAAAATCACTTACAATGAATGTATTATTTATAAGAGATCTATGTTAAATAAAGTATTTGTAAATAAGACATACGCAAAACAAGGCTTTATTTATTCTGATCTTTGGAAGAAATGTGAGCAGAGACCAGCAGGAACTTACCCCTGTATTTTCCCTAGGGACAATGGTTCCGTATTCACACAATTTCATGTAATATAACTACTAAAAATAAGAAGATTGAACTGTGTGTGTTTATGTGTGTGTTGATTTTGCATATGCTGTCACAAATACACATACATACACTCAACAAAAGTTACTTCAGGGATTGAGGATAATAAAGGAGAAAGCCAACTTTCCTATTCACACAATTACATACACACAAATTTCTTCTATAAACACACATAAAAATTGGAGTAATAAATTACAAGAAAATCTTTCCCCCAGGTTATCAGTCTCAGTCTCCTCTGAGTATGTTTGCAATTTTTTTCATTAGGCATAAACTCCTACTTTCTGAATTCACACACCTGACCAGGAAAAGAAACATAAAATAGAGCCAATCTGAAAAAATGGCTCCAAAAATGCAAAGGATAATTGAGTCTTCTACTTAATGAAATGGGTTATGAATATAAAAGTCTAAATTATGCAGTTCAGAAATGCAATATAAAAAAATTCCATGCTAGAATCATGGATCTCTAACTCGATTATCTCAAAGCAGGCATGGTTAGGTCCCATGGTGACTGAGAACCCCCTTCAGTAGACATTCAGATTTGAGACTAATTTCAACTGAGAAGGAGTCCCAGTGGCCTCATCAGTTTCGCAAGCTGAGTCTTTATGGAATAGGCAGGAAATTTTTAGGGCATTGGTTGCTGTCATCTTTTCCCCACTATGTTCTTCAGATGCTAATAAAAGAAGATTTCTAATCCTAAACACCCCCTCCAACTGCCATGAAATTCTGAAGGTAAGTGATTTGCCCTTAACCGAAATTGAACTAAAATACTTTAATACACTTGAGAAGAAAGCAGAAATCCAAGTTATGGCATTGGTAATGTATATAATTTGTAGATGAAAAGGAGACATGGACAAACTCTAGACAAAGAGCACAAAATTGTAGTCATAAATATGCAGTTAGAAAAAATAAAGTCACAAAATGATGTCTAAAGCAGTTGTGGACAGGGCAGTTAGGCAAGTGGTCTGCTGAATGGAAATCAGTTTCGTTGGTCTTTGTTATAGGTGGTATGTTGATTTGCATATGTGACTTTCCGGTCTTTGTCTTGGTTTGAAAGACAGAAAGGAAGAAAATCTTTTAAATTAATAACATCTTCAATAATATTTTTTAATATTTAGATGATTAATCAGCTCCATATTTTAGGACCAGAAGCTTATCCTAATACAGACAGATCCTCTATACAGTCACAAAATTATATTACTGGGTTACTGCTTTGTGCTGAAATGAATGAAACAAGGTTCTTGCTTTAATTGAAAGTCTCATGCAATGAATGGCATCCTTTCTACTCAGATGAATTGAGTGGCCTTTATATTTCCACTATTCAAAACTATACTTTTCTGACTTTACAGATAACTGAGGACTCCACATCTGCAGTTAATGAGTAGAGCAAGTTCTTATTTGCTTGGAGTTTCTCATGACAAGAACTTGCCACAGTGTATCAATGTTTCTAGTAGACATTTATAAAAGAATAAATTATACAGTCATTTAAGAAATAGGACCAAATAAATGGTTGAATGAAAAATACAATATGCATTTATTTTTAAATTATTGAATAATAATGAAAAAATGTGGCAGGTATGATTGAGTCATGGAGTCCTGGTGTGGCGCTGTGAGTTAATGCATCAGACTGCAAAGTCATTTGAATTGCAAGGTCAGTGGATCAAGCTCACTAGCTGCTCCTTAGAAGCCCTATACAGAGGTCGCTATGGGTCGGAATCGACTCTACAGCACTTAACAACAATGATTGAGTAATACAAAAATTTACATGTTGTTGACAGTCTAAGAATTTAGAAAATGGTTTAGGAGAAATTTTTATATTAAATGGTTGGATAGCAGACAAGATTGTGTTTTCCTTTATTCCAAGTAACTGATATGAAACTAATTTCTGTAAGACCTCAGAGGAAGCAGACATCATGATGACATGGTGATCAGAGTACCCAGAAGGTGGAATGGAGCATTGATGTGAGTGAGGGATTTGAGAAAAGGAGTGAGAACTATCATTCTGGTGGGAGCACTTGCATGTGGACATGTTTGGAGAGACTGATGTCAGTATACTATGTGCCTGAAAGAGTGGTCATAAGTTGGTGACTACCTAGAAGTCACTGAATGTTGTTAGGTGTGAGGGGATTATTATTGTTCAACTAATTGTTTTAAACTTACATTATGGGAAGTCTATACAAAAAGATTCTGACCAAAAAAGGGATGATAAAATGGCTATTTTCTAAAGGGGATGCTGAAGCATCGCAGCATAGTGAGTGCTAGACCTAGGCCGCAGTGTGCATGAGTTGAAAGTAGGAAGTTATGTGGCCCTGTTAAAAGCAAAAAAAGATGTTTGGGAATGAATTTAGTTAAATAAGCAAGAAGGAATGGTAGTAGGGCATTCTTAATATGATTATGTATCCTATGTTACTACTCTATATTATAATGCCTATAATATCCAGTAAAAACTCCTATTTTGGCATCCAAAAATAGGAAATTAGCACAAAGTTTACACAAGACATTGTCTAACCTCAGTGTACAACCCTTTGCAGTTATTCAACTGTTTTCTTTAATGTGCTCTAAGAGTCTACCTGAACTCAAGGTTCTTCTCCATCTACTACTATGTCCTTTTAGACAGGCTTTGACTAATATTTTCTATGAACCATCATAACTTAACCAAATAGAAAGATAGAAAATGGAAATGGCAATATAGGAATCAACTTTGTGAGCTATTACAGATCAAGTGTCAGGATTTTGACATAGTGTAGGCCCAGAATTCATCCCAAAGACTGACCACCCAGTGCTTGTTACAGAGGAAATATTTCAACTATACAAAATATTGGGCATTATTGTTTTTTAGAGTCCTGGTGTGGCACTGTAGCATAAGCACTGGATTGCTACCACAAGGTTGGTGGTTCAAACTCACCAACTGCTTTAGGAAACTATACAGGGTCACTATGAGTTGGAACAGACTCAACAGCACACAACAAAAACAATGTTTTTTAATCCAGATCACTCACACATCACTATAAGTGATAACAGATTACCATATATACCAGGAATTTTACTGCTGACATTTTCATATGGGGTCACAACCGACCAAAAGAAGTCATAAAGACACCATGGCTACACGTGAAGTTTCAAAATATGTATGAGATCATTTTGATTTTCATCAACATAAGAGTGCTTGTCACTCAAAATATGTAGCATTAGGAAAAGTACAGTCCACTGTACAGAGTTGAGAAAATATAGGAAAACCATATTTGATAAATTAACAATTTCTAGTGGAAGATTCACTGGAACAGACTTTTATAGATGTAGAAGGAAGGAGAGCAGCTAAATCGCTGCTTTCTACTAAGCTTTGTCACAACATGCAAAAGAATACCACCTAGCAGCACAATGTCATGAAAAAACATAAATTTATGAAATTACTATGGCATTAGTACCAATCAATGAAAAGGATGTTCAGTGACCAGCACTACATGAAGAATGCTACTCATTAAGAAAGAGATGGGCATGTGCTACATTGAATTAAGAACTAGTACTGTTTTTTGGTATATAAGAAAAATGAAAATTGTAACTAAAGCAGAAACTGAAGGATTGGTTGTCTTGGTTCTAAGAAAAGGGTAAAAATCAAGTAATGCCATTGCCAAAATTAAGACAAGGAATAATTTAGAAATCTTCTGAGCATTTACTGGATTCACCTAAATATGAATAAATGAAGAAATAATATCTAAGAAAGATGCATACAAGTCAGTAAAATATGAGGGAAAAAAAACAGTAAAACATGGTATGCAATTTTACCAAAAGACCAAAAACAGCTGTTCTCTGCTTACTTCCTGAGGTGCTGCTTTCCTCAATTCCAGAAGGATCTGATGGACCAGGCCAATGAGACTGTCCCAGATGGCTTCATTCTCCTGGGCTTCTCAGATAAGCCTAGGCTAGAAATTACTCTCTTTGTGTTTGTGTCTGTTTTTTACATGATCACCCTCGTGGGCAATATCACCATCATACTTTTGTCTCATGTAGACTCTCATCTCCACACCCCTATGTACTTCTTCCTCACCCAGCTCTCTTTTCTAGACCTTTGTTTCACCACCAGCTGCATTCCCCAGATGCTGGTGAACCTCTGGGGCCCAGACAAGACCATCAGCTACCTGGGATGTGCAGCTCAACTCTACATCTTTCTGGGACTCGGTGCTGCTGAATGTGTCTTGCTGTTGGTCATGGCTTTTGACCGCTATGTGGCAGTGTGTCGACCCCTGCACTATGCTGTCATTATGCACCCAAAGTTGTGTCAGAAGCTGGTGTTCATAGTATGGGTGAGTGGAATTTTTGGCACTTTGGTGCAGTCCCCCTCCACAATGAAGCTGCCCTTCTGCCGTCACCACCGAGTAGATGACTTTGTATGTGAAGTTCCTGCATTGATTCGCCTGGCCTGTGGAGACACACGTACCAATGAACTCCAAATCTCAGTGATTGGTGCCATCTTCCTGATGGTGCCACTACTGCTCATCCTGGTCTCCTATGGACACATTGCTCAGGCAGTGCTGGCCATCCAGTCCCAAGAAGGAAGGAGCAAGGCCTTCCGTACCTGTTCTTCACACCTGGTGGTTGTCTTCCTCTTCTACTGCAGTGTCACTGCAGTCTACATCCAGCCCCGGAGCCGATTTTCCCAGAAAGGAGGGAAATTCCTGACTCTTTTCTATACTGTGGTGACACCTACACTCAATCCCCTCATCTACACCTTGAGGAACAAGGATGTGAAGGGAGCGCTCAAGAGGCTATTTGGAAAAGATAGAATGGCCACTGAGAAGTAAGGGGCTCAGACTTAAGGATAAGGTCAACTTTTTCCAATTCAGTGTCTCACAACAGTAAACTTCTGGAACTTCATGCATGGATAATTCTCAACTATCAACACTTTTATGTTGTTGTTGAGTGCCATTGAGTCAGTTCTGACTCATAACAAACCTGAACAGGGTTTTTGAGCTACGACGGGTGGATGTGAACTGCTAACCTTGTAGTTAACATTGGACTGAAAGGTTGTTTTGAACCACAAGATTGGTGGGTCAAATTCACCAACTGCTCCTTGGAAACCCTACACAGGGTTGCTATGGGTTGGAATTGACTCAACGGCATTTAATAACAACAGCAACAAGCATGCTTTTAGAAGCCCTGGTGTGGTGCTGTAGGATAAGCACTGGACTGTTGACTATAAAGTTGACAGATCAAACCCACCAGGTGTTTCAGGAAGAAAGATAAGCCTTTCTGCTCTTGTGAAGCTTGTTTTTGTTTGTTTATTTGTTTGTTGGGTTTTTTTTAGAGTACAAACCTAACAGACACAGTGTTTTACAGACACTGAACCAATCAAAAGAACAATTTAATGCACCATGCAGAGTTACCCTTAACTTTAAATGTAAGTGTTCTTGTCAGCGTATGAATATCTAATGTGGTGCTGTAGGATAAGCATTGGACTGCTAACCTCAAGGTCAGTGGTTCAAATATACCATCTGCTCCTCAGAAACCCTATACAGCAGGGGTGGGAACATCTGGCTTACAGGCTGCATAAAATCATTTGGTCTGCCTCTGTGAAGGTAACCACAGGGAAGACTCAAAATTCAATAAAACTAGGAGCTTTTTCCCTAGCAACACAAATCTATATTAAGTGAAGTAATAAATATGCAAGTGGTCCTTGGCAGAAAAATGGTTCTCCAGTCCTGATGTGACACTATGGATTAATGCACTTGACTTCAAGGTCGGTTTGAACCACAATGTCAAAGGTTCAAGCTCACAAACCACTTCTCAGAAACCCTTTGCAGAATCTCTATGATTCCAAACTAACAACCCATTCAGGGTCTATAAAAGTCATAACCTATTCGATGGCACTTAACCACAATTACTATCAGAGTATAGTCATGAAGTATAAAGAACTCCAATTACTTTAAAGGAGACAATATATAAGATAAATTACTAATAAGATATTGAAGGAAAGATAAAACATAAGTGGCTACTAGTGTTGTACAGTATATATGGAATACATATAAGTCAAATTGACTACATCTGTGGAAAGAGATGATGGAAAAGCTCCATATCATCAGTCAAAACAAGGCCAGGGGCACACTGTAGAACAGACCATCAATTACTCATATGCAAATTCAAACTGAAGCTGAACAAAATGAAAACAAGTCCATCAGAGCCAACATATGACTTTGAATGTATCCCACCTGAATTTAGAGATCATCTAAAGAACAGATTTGATACATTAAACACTAAAGACCAAAGACCAGAAGAGTTGTGGGGTGACATCAAGAACATCATACATGAAGAAAGCAAAAACTCATTGAGAAGACAAGAAAGAAGGAAAAGGTCAAAATAGATGTCAAAAGAGACACTGAAATTTGCTCTCCAGCATAGAGATGCTAAAGCAAATGAAAAAATGAGGAGGTCCAAGAGTTGAACAGAAAATTTCAAAGATCAGCTCAAGAAGATAAAGCCAAATATTACAACAAAATGTACAAAGATCTGGAATCAGAAAAACAAAAAGGAAGAACACGCTCAACATTTCTCAAGC